ATAAATATAACACCATATTTATTGCTTTCCTATATGGGTCCCAGACCGAGCCCATAAAAAAAGCCCTCATGTATCCCATACCAGAAACCCGAATGACTCCCATACGGTACCCATATGTGTTGGTTGACTGGGTATTTTATTTGTCATTAATTTAAATAAAAAGTTAACATAGCTAAATATGAAATATATTGTTTGGAAACTGCAAATATTTTTGTTCGAGAGTACTCATGGTTTTACATGCCAGCCTCAGTACACAAACTACTCATTCATAGTAGTCTGACAATAACTAGATTTATGCTACCAATTGAAATGTACTCTGAAGTAACAATCGAAGCTCAAAATAAAGACATCTAATTTCTCCTCCATAAAACGTTCTTAGTTGATCCCAAATGAAAGGCTTGAGGACGTCTATTCCAGACGTCCTAAAAACGTCTTTTTAGGCAGTTTCTGACAGGTCTCATGTGACTTAATGACGTTTTACTTTGTCAAAGTGAATTGTTTTGTTGTAACTATGATATCTCAGTGAAGATGCCAGAGGTTATATTGGGATGCCGGTTTTTATAGATCGCGCCAAATAAGAGGGGGGGGGGGAGTCATTTTTAATGTATAAATATGATATAAAAGTTTTTTTATTATATTTATACATTATAAAATAATGTTTAAACATATTATAAAAATGCAATATAAAAGGTAAACTTTATAAGTTCTTTTAACTCTACTTTTGCGCTATCACCGGCGCCGCCATTGCTGTTTTTTAAATTTCACTCATGTTAATGTTTATCCGAAGCTATGAAGTTGCTATATTTATTTTATTTTTATTAGTTATTTATATACGAACTTCGCCGTTGGCCGCTATATAAGTTACTTTAAGAAAACTATTTTATTTAAGAATAGTTAAGTTGTTAAAGTTAAGTACTTTCGTTGTATATACAATACGTAAATACATTACGTAGCATTATCAATAATATTTTTTTTTTATAAAAGAGATATTGCAGTTAAATGTAATTAATAAAAAAACGTAATTAATTTATTAGTTTTTTTTAATGTAATTAATTTATAATTTTTTTTTAAACACTGTTTTGGATTTATATTTTTTTTGTAAAAGATGCGTCGTTGAAAATTCATTCACTCAAAAGCTAATTTAAAAACACTATAGCGTATTCTTTTAAGCGTATTACTACGCTATATTGTTTAAAAAAAGTCTAGTGAAAAAATTATTAGTCAATAATAATCAACAATCGTTTTATTAAGTAAATAAAATACTTTATTAAACAGAAAGCAAATTTTAAATAACTGCTACAATTCAATTCGACGAACACCAGAATCTCTGTATTTGTCCACCAAATTCTCCCAGGTGAAATCATCAAATTGATCTGGACTAAGAAAAGCTATTCGCATAAGCTTGTCTAAACTACATGGTTGCAATTTATTCCGTTGCTTCGTTGCCAATAGACCAAGTTCAAAAAAACCTTTTTCAATGTTAGAAGTACTTGGCCTGAATAAAAAAGAAAATTTAAACAAAGTAAACAATTCTGGATATCGAAATCGTTCTTTTATTAGAGCAAAGGTCAAATCGGGTTTTCTTCTTTATATTTTACAACATTGCAGGATTTTAGCTTTTTACTATGAATTTGTTTGCGAATTTCTTCGTTTCTCTTTTCTTCTACTTTTTTAACTTCAGTATCGAAATCGTTAAAAAAACATTTAATACCAACTTCCGTTACTTGAGATTTATCAATTAACGGCTCCGCAGTATTTTTTTTACTCTTAAAAGATGAAGACTGTGACTCTCCGTAAAAACCGACCAGCACATAATCACACTCGATTCTTTTCTTAAGATCTTATTGTAATGACACATTAAAGACGTCAAACGCCAGAACACGGAACATCCTAGGAAAACGCCGAATCTAGTTCACTACAAATTTCATCTAAGAATGGGACTTTAATTTTACGTTTACAATTTTTGATCATTATATTAATGTAATTTGCAGCATCTGTTTCCAGCAAATTGTTTGCTCTCAGCCTACGTGCCAATTCCATATGCTCTTTTGAATTATTAAGGAAAAAGTTTAAGTGCTCTTTAAATAAAGGGCCGTCGCTTAATTTTAGCTTGTGAATGGACTGTTTGAGAATTTTAAATTTACTTCAAATGTCTGCATAAATTAATTTTTTTTTTTTTTGAAGAAATAAGGAAAACCTGTTTATGTACGATATAAAATCGGCTAGCAAAAGTAAAAACAATGCAGTGTCAGGATTTAAAAGTTCGTCTCTCAATCCCTCAGCTTCTTTGTTAAGAATGGCGTCTAATGCATCAATGAAACACAAATATCGCGATACTAATCTTTTAGGTGCTTCACCATGTTACAACCATCTTGTTATAGCGGCCTTAAGAAGCTTGCTTTTTTTTCTGTCCTAAGGCCTCATGAGCTTCTCCAAAAACAGCATTTTTTATGGAGGAATACTTAAGCATTTTCCACGATGACAGCAGGATACTATCGACATCTTGAAGGTATTTGAACTTGGGCAGAAGATAAACAGAAACTAAGGCTAATTTATGATTCCGGCGGTTAACATACTTGGTATGTTAAACTCTGTGTCGAAACCCCCACTGCAGCCTTGTGTGTTTTACGCTCATGGTGCTCATTCCATCCATTCCGTTGAACCTCGTTTGTTTAATATCAATCCTTTTAGTAGCTAAAACACCGCATATTAGTTCAAACAAAGCCTTAGAATTTTTGCTACCAATAATCTCCACCAAACCTATGAATTCTTCTACAACATTGTGACTGTCAGAGTTTACATAGCGAACAAATAGTGAAAGTTCGGCACGGTCAGAAATGTCAGTTGTTTCATCTGCCATTAAACTAAAATCTGAAGTAGCAAATAAACGATCTTTAAATCCATCTTCCAAGTATTTGCTAAAACACTTTATAAATATATCTGCTGTTTATGAGTTTATGTGGCATGGCTGCTTGAATCAGAAAGATGCTTCTCAATATCCGCGTCGGGCAAATCTGTTAATAATTCCAATGTATCCTTAAAATTCTCTGCCACAGCCCATTTCTTTTTTGCAAAATATTATGTCGTTTTCATTAACTTCTTTATTACCCTTCTATTTCTTTTTTTTGCATCGATAGTTTGACATCTCTCATTATGAACCATCTGCTTGTATATCGTTCCTTTTACTAGCATTTTTTTCATTTCTTTTTGCTTGGCAGTTAAGTTAACGTGTTTTTTCGACTCTCTATGTCTCTCAAACGTTCTTGTTGGATGTTCATATAGCTTCACAGCTTCTTTTACCCAATACTTACATCCTGCACTATATTCCAAACAAGTTTTGCACAACCAACCTTGCTTTGCCGTTGAATACATAGCAAGTCCAAATTTGGTTTCCCATTTTGCAGGAAATGATGTTCAGCGAGATAAGTTGTTTGAAAACTTTTAGGAACTGAACATCATCTATCATTGAGAATATATATATATAATAATATGAGAATATATATATAACACAATAAATAACTTGACAAAATTAATAGCATCAAAGTAGTCAACCAAAACAAGTAGGCATTTTTAATTAACAGAGTTAATACATAATATTTTAAGCGCTATGTTAATAATATCAATTTTAGTATAATATCAGTTTTTCTACTTATTTCTAAGTTAATCATGACGTCTAAAGTAGCTCTTAGGGACGTCAATAAGACGTCTTAATATGGAAGTCCTGATATCGTCTTTATATTAACGTCACTAGGACGTCCTAACAAAGACGTATTTACCAGACGTCCTAATTTGGTCTAAGACGTCGCGACCTAGTTAAGACGTCCGTAAAACGTCTGATTGACTTCTGTGCCCTTTAGGATGACTTCAAATATTATGTAACGGACATCAAGAGACTTTATTTGCCAAATTAAGGTTTATTGTTTTTTAAACACGCAAATAAAAAATAGCTGAGCCTAATCAAACCTTTTTTAATATTCAAACTACCCCTAGCATCATAAGAAATATTTTTTAATGAATTGTCTTTATATTTGAACAAATGCTTCTTTAAACATTAAATGTTCAAAATATCTTGAAGCACTGTGCAAAGGTATTGTTGTCCCTGAAAAGCTACCACCGATTGAACGGGCTGCTGTATATATATATATATATATATATATATATATATATATATATATATATATATATATATATATATATATATATATATATATATATATATATATTTCTTATTAGTAATAATAAAATAAAAAAAGTAATAGTTAAAGTAAAAAAATATCAAGGTGAAATATAGTCATAAACTATTACTTTGGGATCAACCGATGTTACAATCAATCAATCTGCAACAGTTTGCTGATTATATTCATGGAAAAGAGGCACCACTAGATAACTGTTTTGGTTTTATCGATAGAACTGTTCGTAGAATTACTAGGCCTAAAACAAATCAAAGAATTGTCTATAATGGTCATAAGAGAGTTCACGTACCATAGTTTCAAAGTATAGTAGTTCCAAATGGTACTTAGCTGGTCCGCTTGAGGGTAACAAACATGATAGCACTATATCATGCGAATCTGGTTTACATGGTATGACAGGGGTCCTTTATGTTTATATGGTAATCCAGCCTATCCACTTGGAGTACACCTCTTAGCACCATACAGAAGTTTGAATATTACCCCAGACCAACATGCATTCAACAAAGCTATGAGTGCACATCATGTTAGTGTTGAGTGGGCATTTGGTTTAATAAGAAATTATTTTAAGTTTATAGATTTTAAACAGTCTCAAAAACTTGGCTCAAGTCCCATTGGAAAATGTATACTGTATGTTCATTAATACAAAATGCACACACTTGTCTTAATGGGAACATTGTTTCAGATTATTTGGTTTGAAAGCTCCCTCACTTCAAGAGTATTTTCAATAATTCAATATCGATATGAAATCATAATGATAAACTTATTAAAAAGTATGCCTGTTGTAAATCTTATAGATTATTGAAAATATTGCTAAACTTTCACGATTCTTTAAAATATAAAAAGATAGTCACAAAGAATTATTTATTCCCAAAAAAATGCTAACATAACAATTAAGTTCAAAAAAAAAATTTAGTTTATTAAAAATAAAAATTTTTACAAGTTTTTTTTACAAATTACTTTTTACAAATTTCTTTTTTCTAATAACATTTTGAATATTTCTGTTTGTTGAGCAATCATATGATTAAACATATTTTGAATATTATTTTTTTGTTGCTGAGCAAGTGCTCTTGCTTCAGCTCTTTCTTCTCGCTCAGTGCGTCTATTTTCTTTATCTGCTTCCATTTTTTCACGCAAAAATATTAATGAATCATTTGATAATCTGCGAGAAGTTTTTGGAGACTTGTCTTCATTATGAAGGGCTTTTTGTTTCCTTGTTTCCCTATAAAGCTCCATAGCAGTATTTCTTATATCTATAGCTTTCACACGATCCTCATCTACTTTTTTTTTTTCTTGAAATTTTTCATCTTTCTGAGCATCTGTGTCATCACTGACTTCAATTAGTTCTTCAACAAAAGTATCATATTTAGTTATTTCTTCTCCACCTTCACCAGAAAGTTTTTTTTCCTTGTTTGCCTGACCACGATGCTTTTTCATAATATTAGATAATCGATCTTGTACTCCTCTGCTTGTAACATAGAAACCGTTTTTGTTTAATGAATCAGAAACCTGCTGCCGCAGCTGCCCACGCTCTTTACTTCCAGGCTTTCGAATTAAAACACCTAAAGCTGCCACTTCCCTCATCATCATTATATCTATTTCGATATTCCATTGCATACATGTTCTAAATAAAATCAATTAATAGATATGCTAATTTGAGTTAAGTCCTAATTGTATGTTGTTGACAGAATAATGTAAACATTGATAACATATTTTCCAGAAAAAAAATTCACAGTCAACATGTTATAAATAAAACTACTTGAGTAAATTTGTCAACAACTTGATATATACAAATTGTATTTGTGCCAAATACAATTTATATAAATTATATATTTATAATTGATATATAATTCTATAATTTATATAAATAATGCAATAATATAATTATATTTTTCCCTAGCTTTTTTCCCGTTCCCGTCTTGCTTTCTAAATCAGCTTAATAAAATAGTAAACGCGTCTTGATAATGATCCTTTAAAACAAATATTTAGGGAGCATTAGGGATCATAGTTTAAGTAAAATTTAAAATCATAGTTTATTTGGATTTCTATGTACTATTCAAAGTTTATTTCTTTTTACTAAAAAAAAGTATTTTGCCTAATAATAAACATAACAAAAATTGTATTCTCTGATAATATTAATTAAACTTCAATTACAAAAAATCGTAATCAAACTCTTTTAAGTGACTTAAAAAATTGACGTCGATGCTATTATAATGAAATATTCAATATAATAGCATCGACTAAAAATGCTGTGATGCAGATTATCAAATAATCCATTGGTTTTATAAATATTTCAAGAACTACCTATTTGATTTTGATAATTGCTTTGATAATAATCTTTTAATTTTTCACACACAACTTTTCGCCCTATCCATATAACGGTAGTCTTAAAAACAGATTGTAAAAAAGAAAATGGATGTGAAGAATGATATTTTAAAAGTGAGCCAATAAAATTTTAAAGTTCCTAATAATTCTCTAGCCAAAATTTATTATCTAGCTTAACATAACACACACACACACATACACACACGCACGCACGCACACTCACACACGCACACACACATAAAATATATATATATATATATATATATATATATATATATATATATATATATATATATATATGTATATATATATATATTAATATATATATATATATATTTATATATATATATATATATATATATATATATATATATATATATATATATATATATATATATATATATATATTTATATATATATATATATGTATGTATATATTTATTTTATTTTACCCGCAGTATCATGATATATATTTATAATATATATATATATAATATTTATATATTATATATATTATAATATTTATAATATTATTTACTACTCATAGTTTCATGTGTTACCATAATCTGCAGGCAAGTAGTAAAAAACTAATTTTACTACGATATTTTTAGAGAAATTTACGGTTTATATTTGTGATTTTGATCGTTTTGTAGCGAGCTTTGTAATTTTTTAATAAAAATTTATTCTCGTGGCGGTTTTTTGATATAATTTTGGAACGTTAATTTAGAAGTTCATCAGGTTTAGGATAGGAAATAATTGCGAATTTTATATATAAACATAGTGGGCACCTTTTGGACAAACCATGTGAATATAGGGGATTCGTTAAAATTGTTTTTCAAATCCCATACGTAGTTTGAAAGGGCGGTCGATTTTTGTATCTAATATTACTAAATGATGATTTGTGGTTGTTGTATCTGATTTTCGATTCGCCCTCCTTTAATCCAATATAAACTTTGTTGGGCTGATTTTCTGCTCCGATGATGCATTTATATATAAAGTTTGAATATTTACACTTTATTTCATGGGGCATTCCGTTTTATTGTGACAATTGCATTTTTAGTCATTATTTTTAATTTTCGAGAAAAATAATTTATTTATTATGGTTTTTAATAATTTTTTCAATATTTACAGTGTTTCTGTTAAAGGCATTTTGTAACGTGTGGGTTTTTGGAAAATTTTTGTCGAGTAATTTCGAAAATATTTTGGCGACGTTAGTGAAGACGTTTTTGTTAAATAGGGGGTTGAACCATATTATATTTCGTTTACGATTTCTTTGGGGTGGGTTTAGATTATTATTATTTTTTAGGGAGTTGTTTTTATACCTGTTATTTATTAGTGCTTGTTCATACTCGTTTTTGGATTGGTCAAATATAACTTCGTTACAGGCATTTCAGGAAAGTCTTTTGCATATTGAAGTAGGTAATTGTTTTAAGGATTTGTGGTGGGTGGTTTGAAGATGTATGAACGTATTGAATAATGTCGTTAGATTTTTTGAATGGTTTATCGGTTTTTTGGGATAAATTAAAAGTGACATCAAAGATGTCAACTGATTTACGATTTATTTTAATGTCTATTTGGAATCCTATATCTTTAAACTTTCGGATTATGTTTTTCAAGTACGCTCAGTTTCTTGGCCGTTAGAACTACGTATTACTAACAGACCGTCATCACGATATAACCCTATGTCGGTTTTTTAATAATATCGGATAACTCATTAAGTATGTAGATTCCTACGAGTACGCAAATTTCGGCGCATTATAGCTGCCCATTGCTACGTCAAAACTCTCATGGTTCAGTTTTTTTATCCACGTGCTATTGTTTTAGTAGAGAAGGGATTTTAGGCTGTTAGTAGAGGAAAGATTTTTGCTTTTAACGAAACCCCTACACTCACATGGTCTATTCAAAAAACTGTATCCCCCTAGTCAAATATGTCCAAAAGCTGCCCACTATGTCACTATGAAAAATTCGCATTTATTTCCTATCCTAAACCTAATGAACTTCTAATTAACGATCCGAAATTATATCAAAAAACCACCACGAGAATAAATTTTTATTGAAAAATTACAAAGCTCGCTACAAACTTATTTAACAACTAACATAAACATTAATCTATAAGCTAACTATTAAATTATTCACATATGCAGCTCTTGTAACATGTTTTGTAATGTTATTATATTATTTTTATCCACTTTTTAAATTTTTTTTTCAGTTGTTTCTTTTTTTTGTAAATATTTTTCGTTTTATTTATCAATTGTTAATAATAATAATACACATTATTATTAAATCCTATGAATTTTTTTAAACAAATAATAAAACATACAATAATTTCAAAAATATTAACTAACTAAAAACAAATTGATAATAAAATTTATCTTAACTGCAAAATAACTTTCGTCCCATAAAGATCTAAAACACAAACAAACAAACAAACAAATACAAACAAACAAAAACAAACAAACAAATACAAACCGTAATTTTCTCTAAACATATCATAGTAAAATTAATTTTTTACAACCTGCCTAAAGATTGTAGTAACACATGAAACTCTGTATAGCAAATAATATTATAAATATTAGAATTTAGCTAATTCCTGATACAAAGGGTAACAGTGATATATACTATGTAGCTCTAGTTTATTTTTTGAGCACTCTTTAAAATATACATTATTATACATGATAATATAAAGATACTATCCTTAATATTCACATAGATACACTTACGTGTATGTATATATATATATATATATATATATATATATATATATATATATATATATATATATATATATATATATATATATATATATATATATATATATATATATATATATATATATATATATATATATATATATAGTTTGTTTGTTATGTTGAGCTTGGTAAGTATTTTCATTAATTTATTTATTACTGCTCTGTTTAATAAAATTGAGCACTCTTTTTGTAAATACTATTGTTAGTAAAATACTTTTGCAAAAAACATAAAAATCTAATACGATGTCTTTTTTAGTCACTAATTTTAACTTATTATTTACTAACTCTAGCAATAATTTATATTGAAATATAAACCTCAAAAATGTACCTTAATATACATTAACATATTATTAATATACATTACCAGTCACTAAATTATTAACAACCATATGTTTATATGGTTATTATTACTAATTAAATAAATATTGGTTTTTGATTTAAATTGTTTTTCAATTGATAATTATTATTAAAATGTTTATATAAACTTATTAACTGTAATTATCAATTAAATAGAACTTTAATCAATAACCGCTCAAACATCATTTAATCTCTTACATACACACACACACACACACACACACACACACACACACAAACACACACACACACACACACACACAGCTGACATATCAGCTTATATCGATATAAAATTCACCTTAAAAAAAAAAAAAAAAACCCTACTGTCAAAGTTTATTGCGAAAAAATGTCAACGTTTTCATAATCAACGTCCGGTGTCGTACAAATTTATTTCCCCCATAAATTTATTTACGTGGCGCAAGTTTCGGTTACTAAAGAAATAATATTACGCGGCTTACGCATAAAATTGTTTACCTGCATAAATTTATTTCCGATGTGGGAATAAATTCACAGAACATTCTACAACAACTGAATATACAATAGTAATCAAATATTTACAGTGGGTGGCCATTGAAATAGGGCCATCACGTTTTTGTTATATTGTCAGCATTAATTCACCTTTCAAACGTAAAATTCACAATTTTTCATAATTATTTACGACATTATTACAAATTATTGTGTAGGCAACACTATTTTGTTGCTAGCAACACTGTATTTTGCATGTTTTGACAAGTAAAACCGTGAAATTGTATTCAGTTACCATTTGTAGATTGCCGAAGCTTGTTGTGTGTGTGTGTGTTAAGGATCTTTCTTCAAACGTTATTTTTAAGCGACTATTTTTCAAAATTTTAATTTTTTAAGTGTTTTATTTACTGAAAGACTTCTTCGAGAGTAGTTTTTCCAAAAATATACATTGTTTCAACTTTTTTAATTTTCTTTTACATACTTTTGTAGTGTGTTTATTTGTCTTTTAGATATTTTAAAGTTTCTGACAATGGGTAAAAAAAAGATGTGAATGTTTGTAAAAAAAAGTAAAATAATGTCACTTTTGAGGAACACCAACTATTCTCAACGAGAAATTTCAAGAAGAATTGGCGTTTCTAGGCAGACCGTGCAAAGAATAGCATCAAAAATAAAAAATGGCGAAAACCCTATATC